CAACTTGCGAGGTTTTGGAGATATTCACCAAAATGCACTTTTCAAAACATTTTGTGGCATTTTTAAGGAAGGATGGTACAAAAATGAAGAGAAAACCTGAAGGTGATATAAAAAAAATTAACCATAAATTCTAGAGTATTTTTGGGTATTAAATCGCTGACCCAGCCTTGAGCCTTTGAACCAGAGTGAAATAACTACATGAATAAATGCATAAAATTTCATTTGTCTCTAACAGTGTTTTAGCCGTTGTTTACAGTGAATTTGTGTCTGGGCAGTTCTGAGGCGAGTTCCAGATGATCCCTTGATTTGGGCGCTCTTGTCGATACCGGCAGTGAATCCTGCGCCGCCAGAGGCTGCCGGGATGAAACCATCRCTCATGACCAGGAGCCTGCTGCAGCCAAACACCCTCTGCTGTCCATACACTCTTTGGTCACACTGTCTCCTGTTTTATTACCGATGAAATGAAGATGACATCACCCTTCTTTACTTTGCTCATGTCTGCCAAATKGTTGGAAACGGCTGCAGGATTTTTCACTTTATAAATCAAGGAGAACCCTCATGGTTTGTTATTGACATAAACATAAAAACTAAATGCTACTTTTTCTCACAGTACCCTGTTAAAGCCAAAAACAAAAAGGTAAAAAGTGTCAAACGTGAGGATAAAATGACTAGTCCCTTTATTTTAAAAATAAGGGACTAAACACAAAATGGTTTGAAGCAGCAAAATGTTTTAAACTAATGCATTAACTTTTCTTAGTAATTCTAGTTTTCGCAAAATTTATTGGAGTATCTGCTGATACCAAAACACTTCCTCTGTTTCAACTCCCACAGGATTTATAAAAATTGTGTCAAAGCAGTTTGTGTAAAACTAATTTCTCGAAGCACTTTTTCAGCATTTTTCCTTTAGTGCTGTGGTGTTACAGTTCTGACTAATGTTGCAACAAATTGATGATTCAAAAAAAATGCTGAAGAAACTGCCCTAGTTACAGCAGGAGAAGTAGAAGTAAAAATTTTCTCCCAAGCTTTTGGTTTTTAAGTAACACATTTGTTCTTAACAAACCGTCCAAAACTCAAACAATAAGGCTTTTCTAAAGTTCTTGGCACAGGGGCTGAAAAGCTTATAAAAAATTCATGTTCTGTTGAAGCGTCTGTCATTTATGATTTCACATTTATCATGAAGTAACAAATTCCTCCTTTTTCCAGTAAATTCAATGTGCAAATTTTTGTAATTCATTATGAAGTGCTTTTGGATAAGTCATCTGTAGCAGAGAAAACATCTGTTCATTGGTGTAAAATTCTGGTAAAAAATTGACTTTTTTTTAATATAAAAATTTCTTTTGGCACTCTGTTCCCCACAGTGAGTGAACCAAAACAAAAGCAGTTTTCACTTTCAACACTTGTCTGTTAGTTTGATGTGATGCGTTCAAGTTCCTCCTGATAATCGGGACGCTGCCAGCTTCACGTTCTGCTCGGCCATCWGTTCTAACAGGTGGTGGATTAGCTACAACATAGATGTAGGTTTTACAGCCTCTTCATCTGCTGCAATAGATGAAAACAAAAAATAATTGTTTGCTTTTCTGTAGAGCAAAATATCTCATGAACTTAAAGTGGATTTACCAGAAGTCTGAATAATGACCACAATCTAATCCTGTCAAAAACATTCAAAATGACAACTTCAACATTAGCCAACACAAATGGCTGCAGCTGGTAGCAGCTGAGAGTCATCACGAAATAATTTTAATTTTAGTTAAAAACTCTGGCTTTTAGTTTTCTCCTCTATTCAAAGTAAACACGTCCTTATAGTTCTGTAAAGCTTTATTCTCCTCAAAGACCATCTTGGGATTTGGAGCTAACGTGAAGCCAGTTTCTGTCGTGCATGCCTGCACCTGTCCCCCACCCCTCCTCTGCTGGCCGCCCCCTGTGGAGCCACCTTCTTTTTTTGTTGCGTGTTCCACACGAGGAACCCCAACAACAATGGAGGAGTAGAAGCCAACCACCCGCTGGATGTTTCTTTGCCCCATGGCCCCACCTCCCCCTATAAACCTGCACACACCAGGGGCAGAGCGGGGGGCATCCATGTCTGATTTGATGCGTGCTGAGGCATGAGAAATGAAATTACAGTGCTGYCATGCAGGCATTTTTCTAGACCCCACAGTAAGACCTGGCTTTTATTGTTTGTTTTTACAAAACAAATTAAATGATCTCCAYGTGAAATAAATCCAACAGAAGACAACTTTGACAGCAGTTTGTTTCCTGTTCCTGTCAGTCTGGATGTGTGTGTGTG